ATTATGTAGTTCACACTGGCTTTAAAATCACTGTATAGAGCCCAGGGAAATAGCTCAGTAGAATAAGCACTTGCCTGGCAAGTACAAGAGCCTGAGTTCAATCCCCGGTTCCGCAAAAAAAACAAAAAGAAAAGAAAAAAAAAAATAAAATCACTGTATAGACCAGGCTGGCCTTGAATTCATGGCAGTCCTCCTGTCTCTGCCCCTCTCTGCCCACTAGGAGTACAGTTGTGTACCCCCACGCCCACCCAGCATCGCTGTATTCATTACAATCCTTTACTTCTGCTAGATTAGTAATGATACTACCTTTTCATGTCACCACCTCTCCCTTCCTCTTCTTCTTGTTCTTTTTTTTTTTTTCTTCTTCTTTTCTTTTTTCTTTTTGCGGAATCGGGGATTGAACTCAGGCCCTTGTGCTTGCCAGGGAGGCGCTTGTTCCACTGAGCCATCTCCCGGGCCCCATAAAGCAGGGTCTAGCTGTGTAGTTTTTTGTTTTTTTTTTTCTTTTGCACAGGGGAATTGAACTCAGGACCTTGCATTTGCTGAGCAAGCACTTATGCCACAGAGCTATAACCCAGCTCCCTTCCTCTTCTTTTTCTCCCCTCTTCTTCCTTTTCCTCCTATATCCCTCTGCAGAAGTTTTGTCAATTTTATTGATCCTTTAAGTTTTTCTGAGGCTGGGGATTTAGTTCAGCAGCACAAGTACCTACCTGGCAAGTGCAAAGTTCTGAGTTTGATTTCTAGTAGCCCCCTCAAAAAAAAAGCCTAAAATATAGTTTCATTTATTTTTCTCTTTTAATCTCTATTTTATTTATTTGTTTTCTTTTTATTTTTTTTTTCTTGTGCTTCCTTTGAGCTCAGATTGCTCATATTTTCTACTTTCTTGAGATGAAAGTTTAGGTTATCAATTTAAGAGTTTTCTTTTTTTGTTTAGTTTAGGCTGGCCTCAAATTTATGACAATCCTCCTGCCTCAGCTTTTGAGAGCTAGGCTTATAGGCATGCACCACCACACCCAGCCAAGAATTTCCTTTTTTATTTTGTCTTTATGAGATAGGGTCTCATTGTGTAGTTCAGACTGGTCTTGAGCTCACTTTGTAGCCCAGGCTGGCCTGGAACTCACAAGGATCCTCCTGCCTCAGCCTCCTGAGTGCTGAGATTACAGGTGTGTGCCACCATAGCTGACCAGAATTTCCTTCCTTGTAAGTGTAAATACAGTTTAAATTTCCCTTGCAGCACTATCTTAGCCACCTTTCTTAATTTTAATGTTATGCTCTTGTTTTCAGTATTTTCTAATTTCTTTTAGGACTTGGCACATTAATTGCTAGATGTATAGCATTTAATTTCTACGTATTTTTTCTCTATTGGTTTCTAATTTAATTCTAACATTGTGGGGCCAGCCAAATAGCTCAGCAGATTAAAGCACCTGCAAGCAGACACAGGGGCAGGGGTTTGATCCCCCCTCCTGCTATGCCCCTGGGGTGCTCTGAGATGGCAATTGAGAGTGGGCGTGGTGGTGCGTGCCTGTAGTTCCAGGTCTTGGGAGGCTGTAAACAGGCGCATCACTACCAGTCTGATCTAGTAGTGAGACCCTGAAAACCCTGCAGACCCTTCCCTAAAATACAAAAAAAAAAATTCTAACATGGTCAGATAATATATTGTGACTTTAATCCTCACAAATGTGTTGCTGATGTTTTCTGGTCTAAAATGTGTTCTGTCCTAGAAAATATTGCCCATGCCCTGAGAGAGCATGCTCTCTTCTGAAGTGGACATGTGCTACAGATGTTAGTTAGGGTTACTTGGTGTTTATTTATTTATTTATTTATTTATTTAGGTATATTTTAGGAAAGGGTCTACAGGGTATTCAGGGTCTCACTACTAGATTAGACTCATAGTGATCAGCTTGTTTACAGCCTCCCAAGAGCTGGGATTACAGGTGTGTGCCACCCCACCCAGCCTCAATCGCTGGCTCAGGGCATCCTGGGGGCATAGCCAACACTGTACTACAGGGATCGAACCCTGGTCCCTGTGCTCTGCCTAAGCAGGCACTGTAGTCTGCTGAACTATCTGGCAGGCCCAATATTTCTCCTAATACTGTATCCTCTTAAGACTTTAACTTATTATATTTCATTTTATTTACTTGGGTTTCTCTTTTTAGTTTTTTGGGGGCTTTTTTTTTTTTTTTTTTGCGGAACTGGGGATTGAACTCAGGCCCTTGCACTTACCAGGGAAGCGCTTATTCCACTGAGCCATCTCCCCAGCCCCCCCTTTTTTAAAGACTTATTTATTGATTGATTCAGGGTCTCGCTATGCAGCTTGGACTCATAGTGATCCTCCAGTCTCAGCCTCCTCAGCACTGGGATTATAGGCATGTGCCACCACATCCAGTCTTAGTGACCAGCTTGGTGCAGGGCTGGCGTGGCATGCAGTATCAGTGATCGAACCTAGGTCCTTGAGCTTGTCAGGCAGTCACTTAGACCACTGAGCTATCTCCCCGGCCCCTTATTTGTTTTTTGTAAAAACAGGGTCTCACTATGTAGCCTAGACTGACCTAAACCGCACAGCAATCCTCCTGCCTCAGCCTCCCGAGTGCTGAGAATACAGCCATGTACTACCACACCTGGCTCACTTATTACTTTAATGCCTATGTGTTATTTTCATCTATTAGTTTGTTGTTTGCTAGGTAGTTCTTTCTCTATATTTTCAGAAGTCCTTCTACTTCCCACGGGACCTTAACAGCCTATCTTCAGCTATGTTCACAAGGTCATGTGGGGTCACATCTAGTCATCTTCTTGAGGCTTTTTACTGTGTTTTCTAGATCAAGTGGATGGCTCTTTTACCATTTGTGTGGTGAAGGATGATTCTAAAATCAGCATTGAACCGTGAGTTGGAACACATTTAGAACCTGCGGGTCCTTCTGAGTGACCTTCTGGGGTACCAGTGTCAGCTTTCCCAAGGGCTTCTTTTTCATGGGAAGGGCAGGTCTAGCTGCAGAGGCTCCCAGGGGGAAAAGCTGCGGATGGCTCCAGAGGTATGAGGCAAGATGGCACAGTGGGAGACCTGTGAGCTCTGTGGACTGTAGCTGGCAGAAGTGGCAGGGTAGCAGCGGGTACCTCCCTATCCTAGAGGGATACCCCAAGTGGTAAATCTGGCCATGAAGAAAAACAGAGGAACAAGGAGAATCCCTGGAGAGCTTTCCAAAGCACCTGGTACTTGTCAGGGTGATGAGTGGCTGTGTCTGAGAGATGGCAGTGGGTGTCCCCAGAGCAGGCCTCGGCTGACAGTGGCGCACACAGCTCATCTCTGTTCCTGTCATCTTTGCGTCTCATGTTTCAGACACATCAACATAGGAAGCCGCTTTCAGGCTGAGATCCCAGAGCTGCAGGAAAGGTCTCTGGCCAGAACTGATGAGCACGTGGCCTCTCTAGTTTGGAAGCCGTGGGGTGATGTGATGACCAACACGGAGACGCAGGACAGAGGTGGCCATGGCTCTAGGGTCGGGTTCCCAAGGCCCCTCCTTCCCCTTCTGCTCCAAGGAGTCTGTCCCCTTGACTTCCTCCTGTCCCTGGGGAGGGGCAGGGGAAAGGGTTAGCTCCTCCATCTTGCAGTCTCCTGCTGACCTCACCCACAGCAACTGGCCAGGCCTTCCAGAGTCAGTGCTGTGCTGGACCTGGACTCTTCCCCTTGAGGGAGATACGCAGAGGGGAGGTGACAAGCAGCCTCCCTATGAGGTCCAGGAAGGTTTCCTCCTTGGCCCCTGCTGACTCCTTTGGTGTCTTCCTCCTCACTCACTCCTGCCACTCTCTCACCTCCGCCGGAACCACAGTGACAGAGTTGTGCAACGTGGCGTGTTCCAGCGTGATGCCGGGAGGGGGCACCAACCTGGAGCTTGCCCTGCACTGCCTACATGAAGCCCAGGGCAGCGTTCAGGTGAGGTGGTAGGGGCGCCCTGCTCTCCTGCGGCCAGGGCTTGGAGGTGCATACACGTGCCATGGGTGTGGAAATGTCAAATGAGACCAGCAGAAGGAAGGCTCCCCATCCCTCTTCAGTGGCTTGTGAGTCCAAGGCCAACCTGAGCTACACAGCAAGACACTGATTCAATAATCAAGTAATTAAATACCTAGTTAAGCTAGTATGGTGGTGCACACCTATAATCTCTGTATTTAGGAGGTTGAGGCAGGAGGATCACTGAGTCTGAGGTCAGCTTGTGCTAAAAAGTGAGTTCAAGGCCAGCTTGAACTGCACAGCAAAACCCTGCCTTAAAAAGACAAAAAAAAAAAAAAATTAAAGTAAAAAGCAACTTACTAGCTAATGATGACAGCTATAGTAAAAATAAAATGGGGTGCTGAGCTAGAGTGCTCCTCCAAGCCCCAGTCCCTGATAGAATAAGGAGCTTGTGCCAGAATAAAGGAGTACACACTGCTTCTTTAATCAAGGATGTCTTCTCTCTGTGGGAAAGATAATAGCTGCCCTCTGAAGGGTGCTTCATGCTGCTGTCACCAGCCCCAGCCTGGCCACTCACTGGTCCAGGCAGCCCAGCCCCTTGAGCAGCCCTAGGATCAGAACTCTGGGTTGCCTGTGAGTGTTGTTCAAATGAATGAAAGGCCAACGATGATCCTGCACCTCACTGCCCTCGTACCTGGGAATGGCCTCCCCTCCTCTCCTTCCAGGTGGCCCTGGAGATGCTCTTACTCAGAGGAGCCCAGAAGCCGAGGACCCACCCACTGGCTGACTATCGATACACAGGTGACTGGTCAGAGGCTGCTGGGATGCTGGGGTGGCTCAATCCCCTCCAACAAATTGGCGCAATGGGGCTCCGCCTCTGCCTCCTGGATTCCCCTTGTGCCCTTCAGCAGCCTTTCTGGAAGGGCCTGTCCCTCCAGGGTAACTCAGCAGGCACAGGTTTCTGCTCACTGGAGTCTGCCTCCCTCCTGGTCGAGTTGTTCCCTTGGAGCTGTGTTCAACCAGGGGATAGGAGGGCCACAGTCACCTCAGGTTCCAGTAGAACCTGAAACCTGGAGTGAGCCATGGGGGCCTCAGCTGCCACATCTGTACAGCCAAGGGCAGGGATGACCTTGTGGGCTTTTGTGGGGATGGCAGGAGACTGGCAGGTGACTGGTGCTTAGTGATAGCAGCTTTCACCAGGAGGCCCCACTGGAGGAGTGTCCTCTTGGATGTGTTCTTTGACAGGTTCAGACATCTGGACCCCCATGGAGAAGAGGCTCTTTAAGAAGGCATTCTGTGCCCACAAGAAGGACTTCTACCTGATACACAAGACGGTAAGGCAGCTAGAACAGCTACGACAGAGGAGTGGGAGGGCCCTTGGCGCCCAGTGCCCCACCCCTCACCTGTGCCTTGTCCTGTCCAGACTGTCTCTTCTGGCTGGCCACAAGAGGCAGAAACGCCCATGCGTGCATACTAAATAGAAGAGTATGTTGTTTTTTTTTTTTTTTCCGGTGGTGGGGCGGGGACCGGGACCGAATTTAGGCCCTTGCACTTGCCAGGGAAGCGCTTATTCCACTGAGCCATCTCCCCCGCCCGAGTCTGCTGCTTTTATTTCTTCTTTTTTCTTTTTCTTTTTTGTTTTTTTGAGACAGGGTCTCACTGTGCAGCTCAGGCTGGCCTTGAGCTTACTTGGTAGCCCAGGCTGGTCTCAAACTCACAGTGATCCTCCCACCTCAGCCTCCCAAGTGCTGAGATTACAGGCATGTGCCACCACACCTAGCTATCTCTTCTTTTTTAAATATGAGGTACTTGAAGCTGCTCATAATGAAAGTACAAGGTTTGGTAAATTTTGACATATTCACACACCTGGAAACCATCACCATAACCAAGACAAGGAATAACAGATCTACGGCCCCCCACAGCTTCCTTCTGCCCCCTGGGACCCACCACCCATACCACTCCCTGTCACTAAATCCATTTGCACTTCCTAGATCCTTCCATGAATGGAACAGCCACAGAGCATGTGTTCTGGTCTGTCTAGCTTCCTGTATTCCACATGGCTGAGGTTTGTCCTTGTTGCACATATTGACAACTCATCCCTTTTACTACTGAATAGTAGTACTCCATGGCATGGACACTCCACAGTTTGTTTAATTTTTCATGAATTGATGGTCATTTCAGCAGTTTCCAATTCAAGACAATTAAACAGCAGTTGTAGAGCCACTGAGATAGCTCAGCAGTCTAAAGCACTTGCTTAGGCAAGCGCCGGGGACTACAGCTTGATCCCTGGCACCACATGCTGTGCCAGCCCCGCCCTCAGGGTGGGATGAGCCCGCCAAAAGCAATTATGAAGCCAGGTGTGTTGGCATGCCTATAATCCCAGCTCTCGGGAGGGTGAGGCAGGAGGATTGCCGTGAGTTCAAGGCCAGTTTGTACTACATAGCAAGGCCCTGTCTCAAAAAAGCAAAAGGAGCCCAGGTGTGGTGGTGCACACCTGTAACCCCAGCACTCAGGAAGCTGAAGCAAAAGGATCATTGTGAGTTCAAGACTAGTCTGGGCTACAGAGTGAGCTGAAGGCCAGACTCATGTGGGAGTCCACTTTCACAGTTCACTGTGCTTTGTAAACTGACAGCTAGTGTCTTGCCCCCCATTTTTTATCCCATACTGGGGATTGAGCCCATGGCCTTCACCCTGAACTACATCCCAGCCCTTCTGTAAATACATTTGTTTTTTATTCAGGGTTTCACTAAACTGATAAATTGTGTAAGCTGTGCTAGAATTTGGCATCGTCATGCTTAAACCCTGCTCAGTATAGGGGTTACAAGCCTGTGCCACCATGCCTGGTTTGAGGGCATTCAGTGTAGTCCCTGCTGTAACCATGTAGCTGTTGGTCTGAGGTTGCAGTGAGCGCTGCGTGCATCTCTCTGTAGGGAAGAGCTCCCGGGCTGGGGTTGCTGCTCTCACGCTCTGTGCTAAGGGCTGGTGACTACTGTGGCAGCACTTGCCACCTGGAGGGATGCTGCAGCCCCTGCCTCTGCAGCACAGGGAGTGGAGTTGTAGGGGAAGGGCTTTGGGCAGGTGCCAGCTGGCCAGCGGTAGGATCATCCTGCAGGGACTGTAAGGTGCTGCCTACAGTCTGCTTCTGTTTTCTTCCACTAGATTCAGACAAAAACAGTGGCACAATGTGTTGAGTACTATTACATCTGGAAAAAAATGATCAAGTTTGACTGTGGCCGAGCTCCAGGGCTAGAAAAGAGGGTCAAGAGAGACCTGGATGAAGTAGAAAGGACAGAAGAAAAGGTAGAGGCTCTAGAGGGAGAGGGTGGCGGGCCCCTGTGGTCGGATAGCCACTTCAGGCCCAGCCAGAGATGGAGAAGTGGCCCTGAGGGAAGCTCTGCCTGCTCACTGCTTCTGCCTTTCAGGGCTGCAAGGTCAGTGCCCCTGTTTTGTTTTGCTCACCACTGCAGGTCACCTGTAGCCCTCAGGACAGACCCAGCCACAGCCCAACACCTGAGTTAAAGATAAAGACCAAGAGTTACAGGAGGGAGTCCATCCTTAACTCCAGCCCAAGTGCAGGTCCCAAGCGGACCCCTGAGGCACCAGGGAGTGTGGAAAGTCAAGGCGTTTTTCCATGCAGAGAGTGTGAGAGGTACCTGGCCCAAGCCTTGGGTGTTCATACCACCCTAGCCTCTCCCTCCTCACCCTGACCCTGTGTTCTCTGACAACCCTTCAGGGTATTTGACAAGATCAAGAGTCGGAATGCCCACATGAAGCGACACCGCCTGCAGGAGCACACAGAGCCTGTCCTCAGGGTGAAGTGGCCAGCAAAGCCCTTCCCACTGAAGGAGGAAGAGGAAGAGGAGGAGGAGGAGGAGGAACTGGGCACTGACATCAGCCCCCTGCAGTGGTGACTCCCTGTGGGCAGCTGGCTTGGCCTGGTCTGGTCTGGTCTGGTCTGGTCTGGGCAGGGCGTGTAGTCCTGCTTTGCCTCCCTGCACCTCTCCACCCTTCCCGTCTGCTATTGGCAGCTTCCCTAGCAAACCTGTGGCCACTTAGTCACAAACAGGCAGAGAAGCCGTCATTGGACAGCTGCTGAGTCCCTGACAGGTGTGGCCAGATGTTCCATTTTCTTGAGTTTGAGTCTCTCTCCTTCCACACTGCATGCAGCAGGGGAATGCACAGCTCTTAAGTGTGAGCGTCCAGCGTGGGTTCCTCACCTCGGTTAGCCAAAGCCAGGATGCAGAGAGTCAGTGGGAAGGTGTCCTGGGATCTCCAGCTCCAGGCCCTGCCTCTAGGCAGGCTCTCTGCTTTCTGGATCCTGTCCCCCATCTCGAGAGGACTTGTACATTGTTAGGTGTATTTTTTTATGTATCTGTGTGAAAACCTTATTAAATCGGGTTCTTGAGCAGCTGTCTTCCCACTTCACAGGCTGTGGGTCCCGAAGAGGTTCTGAGCTCCAGCCACCTGCTGTGAGTGCCGCTGCCTACCCCGGAGGGTGTGTCCTGCTGGCGTTCAGTCATCATACATTTACTAAGCACCAATTCCTGCCCCTGCAAAGCAGGGACATAGTAAAGCAAGAGGGGAAAGGCCCTTTCCCCACAGAGTTCTGTTTTTAGGAGCTGAAAGATAGTGGTAATAAGCAGCAAAAAAGGTGATTTTAGGTTGTAACAAGGTGCGCTTTGGGCCATCATAACAAAAGATGCAGGGTAGGCCTGAGTCACCAGGACATCAGTGTTCAGCCTGAGGTGAGGGACCCACGTAGAAGGTGGCAGGGTGCCCAGGCTGCCACAGAGGCTAGCACAGCAGCTGCACACAGCCCCCGCCTGCAGAAGGGCAGGAAGAGTGTGACCTCCTCTCCTGTCCCTTTTTTGAAGAGCCAGGGAGACCTGCAGCAGTCCCCAGGGACTGTCCCTTGGGTCTCATGGGCCAGGATGGCAACCTGAGTTCAGCTTTATGCTGTCCCAGCAGTGGGAAGGAAACAACCAGCTGTCCTAGCCCATGGAGATCTATCTGTAGGACAAGGAAAAACTAGTGTGTCCTCTCAAGTTTGTTGCCACCTGATCAAAGCTGGAATCCCTGTAGCCAGGCAAAGAGGAAGAAGCCACAGTGACCACTGGGTAGGGCAGACCACTGTGCTGCCTACAAATAAATGGAAGAAAATAAAAAGTCAAGTCCTAGTGAGTGCAGGAGCACAGAGTTAGGTGCACGGCCAGGGGAGGGTGGGAGCTGGCCCAGTGAAGTGCAGACTGCTTGGGAAACTAGCCTGGGGTGTTAGGCAGGTGAAGGCCCTCCACAGGGCCTACTTACAGAGCTCTCTGGTGCAGTGCAGAGACCTCAAGGGACAAGATCGGAAGCCCGGAAAGTGGCTCAAAAGCCCCATGGTGAGATGACAGTGGCCTGGCCTGGGGTAGCGGCAGAGTGTCAAAAGCATGGAGCTTAGGGATGTGTTTTCTTTCTTTCTTTCTTTCTTTCTTTCTTTCTTTCTTTCTTTCTTTCTTTTTGTTCCTTTTTATTTATTTATTTTTATTTTATTTTTTCCCATAATTTTATTGATAAACAAATAGCTATGAGACAGTTTCAAATCAAATTCGTAGGACAGTTTCAATAATTCACACATTGCATACATTCTTCCTAGTGGTTAATTGCTGTACAAGATGCAGACATGATATCCTATTTACAAATACCATTAGAACAAATCACTCTATTCATTAAGAGAATGTAACTATTTATCTATCCTAACAACTTTGAATACACAGATACAAAGTGAACATCGGTATCCCCTTTTTTTGTTAAGTTCCGTTATTTGAATATTATAGGTGTGTAAACTCAGTAAAATATTCTAAAAGAGTCCAGTAGCCCTTAATAGTATTGGGTCTTCCGCTTCACTGGCAGTGTCAGAAATTGTTGATCTGAGTCCCCTATAGCTCAACATAACAGCATGGCTTTACTTCTTATATTTCATTTTTATACTTTTCTGCTGGATGGTTAAGACCAAGGTAAAGTAGGACCTATGCAACAAGAGTTGTAGCTTTTGGGTCTGATAAGGTCAGTGAAATCCCCTCAGGATTGATCCTGAGATCCTGTACCTCAGATTGTAGAACCTTTGTCAGTGTCAGCCATGTGGATGAGTCACGGCCATTGCTTGGCCAGTGTGCTCTCTGTGAAGGCCTGAGAGAATGTTTTCTCTCCAGGTGACTCTCCTTAGGCACACTCTACATCATCGATCACTTTCCTCTTTGGCCCCATAATCTCCTTGATCAGAAAATTTGGGACACTACTGAGTTACATGACATTACAGTACAGGTTCTCATATGTCCTGAATCTTAATTGACCTTAGAAGGCCAGGGCCAAAATGTTGGCTTTCCTTGCAGCCCTCCTTTTTCTCTAATTTTTTTCTGCAAACTTAGGTTGTTAACCATCCAGAAGACAAGCTTATTGTTATTACCATACAACTTAGGCTGTTAAGCTTAACCTCACTATCTGTCTGCAAGGGGTGTGTTTTCTAAGTAGAGTCCACAGGCTTGTTCATGGTCATACTGCAAGCAGGTAGGGCAGAAGGGAAAAAAGTTCAAGGCTGCTGATAAGTTTTTTGGCAGCCAATAAAGAGATAGGAAAGATAAAGAAGCCTTTATGAACTCCAAAGACCCAGAGAAGATCAAGGGCAGATGGGGCAGGTAGGTCCTGCGGCCTGAGACACGGAAAGCGGGGGCTTTCATGGACTTTGGCTCAAGCTAGAGTTTGAGGGAGATGTTTAGAAATATCTGAGGGTACTAGAATACAAAAAAGAAAAATATCTGAGGAGCTGACTGGGGCCTTCCCTGTGGCAGCAGGAAAGGTGAAAGGAAACTGCACCCTGGGCCATATTGGAGAAGAAGTAGGGAGGTGGTCTCGGGGAAGATACGCTGTTGTTTTAAGTCCTGCGTGCAGCTATATTAGATGACTGCCATAATAATTCAGCAGTTCATACTAGGGCCAGAACCTGTCATTTGCCATGGAAGTGTTGGGACTCAGGCAGCTGTGATGATGCTGTTAGCGAGGCAGCATGACCCCGACTGCACTGCAATGGGGTCACGTATGTACTGGTGGGTGCTGCGTTCTGAGGGGAAGGCAGGGCCAGCAGAGTTGACAGCACTGTCGCAGGGTCACACAGAAGGGCCACATTTCAGCTAAGTTAGTATTTGAGAGGGAGAGAAACAGGCAGCTGTTTGAAGCAGTTGGAACACTTTGGTTAAGGGAAAAGGGTTCAGGGAGCCTATGAACCTAGCCTTGTGCCCTGGCCCCTCATCCAGCATTGCTGGCCCAGGGCAAGTCGCCTTCCTGTTTGAATCTCAGTTTTCTTAGTCTGTAAAATGGGATGGAGAATGCCTCCCTCAGTGTTTCGGTCAAGTGAGAAAATGTAAATTAAGTACTGAGCAGGAGCACTGTGTGCCCTGAACACTACTACCACCACCTAAGGAGCACTTCCTTGCTGCCACTTGCTGTTGCTTGGGTCCCACCTAAGTGACTGAACTCTGGAAATGAAGTTGAGTTAAATGTTAGGACTATTATCTATTGCTGCATAACAAATTACCTTCAAATTTAACAGGTTAAAACAAATGGAAGCTTTTATGATAGTGTGGCCTTGACAGACCCGGAACTGAAACTGCTCGTGGTAATCCAGACCCCCCACCTGCCCGTGGTCAGAGTACAGTCACAACCACAAGCAGTAGCTCCGGAAAGTTCCTTCTGTGTAAGATGAGAGGTGGACTAAGGTTTCTTCAGGGTGACCCTCCTCAGCTGACACCCACCTCAGATAACATTTTCTTAAACAATGGACCTGATTATTTGGTTACTGACCATCGAGGGTTCTGTAAAGAAAAACAGACTCTGGCACCCCACCACATATTCAGAATTGGAACCTTCGAGGGTAGGGCCCTGGAACCTTGTTTTATATAAAGAAGCCTTTAAGAATAGTTTAACATTTGCAGAAGATTTGCAAAGACAGTGCCAAAAAAAAATCCCCATACATAGTGCACCTCATTTGCCCCTGTGATTAACATCTTGCATTAGCCTTGTTTTCATGCCTTGAGTGATTCGAAGAGACCTGGTCAAGTATTCTGGAGAGGGTGCCTCAATACAGCTACGAAGATAGCACTGAAGTGTCATTCTGGTCACATGCTAACGGTACATACTATCAACATGATTTATCATTGTTGTGTCCCTAGTCCAGGCTGGCCTGGGACTAATGGCAATTCTCTTGCCTCCACCTGGCCTCCCGAGTGCTGGAGTGAACAAGGCTGTGCCTCTACACCCTGTTTATTTATCATTGCTGATACTAACTTCCGTTAGCTGGCTGGCAATGTTTGTCAGGCTTCCTTCCGCGAACAAGGAGGCAGCCCATCCTCCTGCCATATTTTGGTTTTCAGAAGAAGTCACTATACTCGCCACACTTAAAGAATGGGGTGTGCTGATCTCGATGACGCATGCCCATAATTCCAAATACTAGGGAGAGTGAAAAGGGAGAAAAGGCTTCTGCAGGCCAGCCGGAGCAATTTAAAGACCCTGTCTCAAAATCTAAACATGAATAAATGGTAGAGATGCAGCTCCATGTTAAGAGTGCCTCTGGATTCCCTGCCACCCCTGTACCCCAGCCACTTCCAGGAACCCTGGCTCCTTTTACTGGAGAGTAATATTAAAAATCAATCCCATTACTTAATGAACTGGAGACTTTTTTTTTTTTTTTTTTTTTTTGGTACCGGGAATTGAACTCGGGGCCTTGCACTTGCCAGGCAGACACTTATGTCACTGAACTATCTCCCCGGCCTCCCCCCAAAAATTTTTAAACTATCTCGCTATGTAGTTCAGGCTTGCCTTTAAGTCACTATGTATCCAGGCTAGCCTCTTAACAGCGATCCTCCGCCCTCCGGATTACAAGTGTGCGCCACCACTCCCGGCTGGAAACTGAATTTTTAACATACTTGTCTCCAGCCATGTTTTGTGAAACCACAGTTAGAGAATTCTAAGTTTTTTTTCAACTAGTGCTTAGTAGAACTCAGCTCTAAATTTTGTCCGATTTAAAAAAAGTTTTCCAAGTACTCTCCAAGCCAGTTTCAACACCGGTCGGCAGAGGGCGCAGGAAGCGGAACCGTTTTATTTTCATTACATAGGTCTTTCCGAGAGGAGTAAAGGATACACAGCGCGGAGGCGGAACGAAATTGCGCAGGAGAACTGTCAAACTCCAGATGCCGGGGACCTGTCATGTGAGCGTCAGCGGTCAGCTGACTAGTCCCAAATTCCGCGAAGAGAGCGGACCAAGCCAGAGGCTCCTGATCATTGGTGGAGAAGAATCAGAGGCCGCGCCCTAGGTACAGGTTCTTGGCTATAGGAATTGGGATTGGTTTACACAGCATCATGTGAAGTTTGTCCTGCGAAACGCTAGGGAGCTAAAGTTGTGCACGCGTTGGGAGTATGCGCATGCGTCGAGGCCTCAAGAGGCCGATTGGAGAATTGGAGTCACAGGGCAGCGCTCCGATCGGCGGGGGCGTGGCCCATGGGGGGGGCGAGAGCCCACAATACGAGGCCGCTGGTTGGCCGGAGGGAGTCACGTGGGGCCTGGTCGCCAGCGGCGCGCGCAGGTGCGACGTCTACGCAGCCGCTGAGCTCCCTGGTTTGTGTACCGCGGCCCGGCCGCGGCGCAGTCCTTCAGTACCCATTCGGGCAGTTTGCTGAGAACTTTTGTGGGCGACATGGACAACTCAGGGAAGGAGGTGGAGGCGATGGCCCTGCTGGCCGAGGCGGAGCGTAAAGTGAAGAACTCACAGTCTTTCTTCTCTGGCCTGTTCGGGTGAGAACCGGCCGAGGGGCTGGGATCTAGGCTGCGAGGACGCAGGAGCTATGGCCAGACGCGGCGGGCTAGGCACCAGGGTTCGGGAGGAGGGGACAGGTGGTGATTCCGCGAGGAGGTGATGGGGTCTAAGGCAGTGGAACGCCCACAGGCCGAGGGCAGGGAGAGGCGGGAAGGGACCCAAACAGAGGGCCCACAGGCCGAAGCGACACCATCTTAAGGCCGGGAACGGAACCCAGGTTGCAGACAGGCCAAGGAGCCGAAGGAGAACTGGGCCGAGGGAAGACAATCTGAGGCCTAAAGGGGCTGAGAAACCTGGGAGAGCTGCAGATGCAGAAGCCTTTGGAGTTCTCGGGACGCTGTTTGAAGGGTCTCAGACTGGGGTTGAGAGTAGGTTCCTGCAGAACCCACCTTTGCAAGGCCGTGACAGTGGGTTGGTAGGGGCTCAGGGTGGTGGAGCTGAAGGCAAAGGAGTCTTGACATCAGGCACGGCAGCTTAAGTGGTGTTGAGAATGGTGACTCCGGGTGTGTATGTGTGGGTGCTTTGGTTAAGACGGATAAGTTCAGGAGATCTGAGCACACGACCTGGGGCTAGAGCTGTAGATGCCTGGGCAGAGAGGCGAAGACATGATTTGACTAGGCCAGGGTTGAGGAGAGATAAATAGGCAAAGATGAGAGAAGGGAGAGAAACAAATGGGCAGTCAACACCTGCTGTGTGGCCCTCAAGTCTGAATGGGGTGACTAGAATGTTTTAGAAGAGGGCCTGAGGGAAGTTGGGAGAGAGGAGCAACACCTGGGAGGTGGCAAGCATTTCACAGGAAGTTTGATTCAATTTATGAAAGTCGACTGTCTTGATGAAAGTGCCTACAAGCAGGCACAGGAGCCAGGGGTTTGATCCCCAGGCCAGCTCTGCCTGCCCTGCACCCAGGGTTTGCAGAGACAGCAGTTGAGACTGGGAATGGTGGTGCATGCCTGTAATCGCAGCTCTTGGGAGGCTGTAAACAGGTGGATCACTATGAGTCTGATCTAGTAGTGAGACCCTGAACATCCTGTAGACCCTTCCCTTAAAATACAAAAGAAAGAAAGTTGACCATCCTTTGAAGAGTATGGTAGCTTAAGAGCATCAAAAGTCTAGATTTTAGAAGGTGACTCCCATTTGTTCACTATACTAAATGTGTAGTATAATTTCCAAGATACAGGAGATCATTGGTAAAACTGACTAGAGGTTTGCTTATGTGTGAACTGCTTAGAATTGAGTTTGCCATGTGATTAAAGCTCTGAAGTGCCTGTTTGGCAAACACAAGATCCCGAGTTCCATCCCCTGTAATGAAAAACAAAAACAAACAAAAAACCCTCTGACACTGTCACTAACCTGAAGAAAAGAAACGACTCATGGAAGGAGCTTATAGAGACCAAGGCAGGAGAGGCTTTGCAGGGGTCACAGAAGGGAGAAACAGGAAGCCTGTGTGTGAATGGGTAGAGAGGAGTGACCGGGAATGGAAAAGGCGTTATGGACCTTGGGGACTTAGTAGGGCTAGGAAAGGATTGGTGGTGTGAGCAGAGGGGATAAAAGGATCTGAAAAGGATTAGGAGAGGAGCATGCCTGAGGGAGGATCCTGACAGGGCCAGGGGAAGCAGTGGAGACTGGGAATGGCCTGGGAGGCTGGTGGTGAGGACATGGGGCGTGGAGTCAGGAAGCAGAGAAAGGCAGGTGGGTAAGGTGGTGGGTCTGGGGACTGCCAGAAGGCTGGGGAAAGGATTGAGAGGAGGCCCTGGGGATTACAGGAGACTATTAGGAAGGAGCCTGGCAGAGGTAGAGACAAATGAAGAGTAGTGATTTGTGGTTGCATAATGTTGAGCAAAAGAATTTGAAGGATGTTAGTGAATTGTCTAGTGTAGAGAAACTCTTGGTCTAATGGGTTGTGCTGATTAGGAGAGGAATGTTTAAGTTTGGTGGCTGAAGGATTTGGATCTGTGTTTGTTTCTTCCTTTTTTGCCGGGAGAGAAGTTCAAGTGCAGTGGTTGCAGGTGGAGCCCAGAGCTCAGTTTTCCCCAGTAGTTTTCCTGGTGGCGCTTTCCTATCTCTCTGATAGGAAAATCTCTCTCCTTTGGCCCAGAGATTTGTGTACTGTTGAGTTGTGTTTGCTGGGAGCAGTTAGCCCTAAAGACACTTGCCACCTGGTGGGGAAAGCAAGATTAACACTCCAAGCGCTAGTAAAGCTTCGTTGTGAATGCCAGGAGGGCCTGGATCCGGACCTTGGAATGGTGCTCCCGCTGAGGGGAAGTTGTGTGAACTAGATGCAAGCTCTGGGCAAGGTGTGAGCGGCCCCAAGGAGCCTCAGGCCTTTGCTAAGGGAGCAGGCACCTGGGAAGCAGGGGTGGGGCAAACAAAGGCTGGGAGAGAGGGGACATTCTGCCCTGAGTGAGAGAGGAGTCTGAGATCAAGATCCAGAGGAACCAGAGGTGGCCTTGCAGAAGAAAGGCCTCTATCCGGGGCCTGACTAGAAGCTCTAGGGGTGCTGTATGGTGGGGAGCAGCACTCCAGGCAGAGGAGACAGCTTAGAGCAAGGCCAGAGGGTAAGCAGGTCTCACAAAAGTTTATGAGTACTCGGAGGTGGATCATAAAATTAGGGCAGGCGACTGTGGCGAGGCTGGACACGTGAGGCCCTGGGAGCAAGGGGGCCATCAGTGGGGGCTGGTCCTAGAGGATTCCTGCTTGCCCTTCATAAAGGACCGCAGCAGCTGGTGTAGAGGAGCATGGTGGCCCAAGGTTGCTGCAGTGATGAAGGAATCAGCAAGTGATGAGTGCTGGGCGCTTACTCTGCCTAAGTCAGGCCCAGGCTGGGCACTTAGCCTGCCTTCTCTCTCTCAGTCCTCACAAAGCCCCTGTGAAGGCAGATGAGGGGACTTAGAGAAGTCACTTACACTCAGCACTTATACTCAGCAGGAGAGACACATTCAGATCTGGCCTGTCAGCTTCCAGGGCCCTCCCTGAGGCCACTGTGCTCTGAGGCTCCTGCCTATCTCTGGACATGTTCAGGAAGGATGCAGCTGTGTAGTTTGGGAGCTGACCCCTCCTCACCTCTACAAGATAACTGAAAAAGCGAGCAGGTGGGTTTCCAAGAGACCTAGGGATAGTGCTGCTAGGGGCGTAGGCAAGGCCGGCCTGGAGCCTGTGTCCAGGAACCAGAGGACATCCAGAGGTCAGTTGGGAGGACTTCATCCTGTACAGGTAGAAACCATCCCGACCACTCCACCCTGGAGCTGGCCTCGCCTGGATTAAACATTTCACAGCTGGCCTTCGCTCCAGGCCTGGATGAGGGAGTGCTGGGCGCTCCCTTCTTTTGGGAAAGTGCGTGAGGGCAGCTTCCCAAACTCAGACGCCCTTGCTCCATCCAGTGGGCCACTAGTGCTCCCCTGTGCCCGGGAGGGCAGCCTTTGCTCTTCTCTGGGCTGCAGACTTGGATGTACCAGCAGCCAGCGCAGGTGAGGCTCCCTAGTTAGAAGAAGGAAGGTGCCTGCACCTTCCCTGGTGGTGGGGGACAGGAGTGGGTTAGGAGCCGCACAAACTTGTGCTTTGCTCTGGAAACACCATAAGAGTGGTGATAGGAAAAGGAGAGGGAGAGCTGAGTGCCCTTTTGCCCCCTGTGGCTCTGGGTGTGCTGAAGGGTCCAGAGCTTCTGTGCCAGGCCCTTAGCCATTGTACACGTTCTGAGTGGCAGGTATGTCCCCTGGGCTCTCCCTCCCTAGCATCTCCCCTCCATCTTTTCATAAGAGATCCAAAATGAACACTTCTGCCCTTATGGATACCTATGATCAGAATGGGCCCTGCTTCCTCGGCTCATCCTAACCCATAGGAGATCATGTGCAGAGCAAGATGAGAGAGAGGGCTTGGCCCGGCGGTGCTTAGCACTTGCAAGTCTCCTTATCCCTAGGCACTGTTACTGGAAGCTGGAGGTGCTGGGACACGGGCTGGCAGGGTGTCCTGTATTCAAACAGTGTATTCCTAAAGATCAGTGTTGACAAGTCAGATCCTGTTTGAACGGCCTGCAGGCACTAGGAGCCAGCGGTGCTAGCTTTGTGAGCAGAGAACCACTACTCAGGGTGGGGAGAGTGTCCGTGTACAGCCTGCAGGCTCACTGCTGAGCTTCGAGCTCTGACCCACATCAGACCCAGGGGAGTTGCTGGGAGTAGCGTCAAGACCTACAGCTGAAGTCTCGTTTCAGCATCGAGACTTTCCTGAGGGCATCCAGGAGATCCTGGCTTTCTCCAGGGCTGGGACCTTGCCACCTAGTTGTACAGGTGGCAAGGTCCCAGGGTCCTCCTGTTCCAGATGGGCCTGCTGAGAAACCAGGCGCTTTCTGCATGGCTTTTGAGGAAGTGAAACACTGATTTTGGAGCTGCAGTGATGTGTGATCCTGTTGTACAGAGTGGCAGCCATGCATGTAAGAAATAAGAGGAGCTGCCTGGTAGAATTTGCTGATAACCCCAGGATTCTGGAAGGCTGAGACTGGAGGATTGCAAGTTTGAGCCCAGCCTGGGCAATTCAGCAAGTTCTTATCTTAAGTAAATAAGGTGCAGGGGGAGAGAGGTAAGGCTCAGTGTGAAGACCCTGGGCTCAGTTCCAGTACTGATAAGGGAGAGAGGAAAAAGAGGGCTGGAGGTGTAGGGCAGTGCTAGAGTACCTGCTTAGTGTATATGAAGCTCGGGATTCCCTTCCCCAAGCACCCCTTCCCCAGTGCAGATGTCAGAATGTGCTAAGGCTGCAGTCTGTGCGGTGTGTGGTGTTTGCATGTACCTGTGCAGCCTCCCATAGACCTTGAATCATCTCTAGGTTTCAGATAACTAATGTAAATGCTGCAGTCATGCACCGCAGTGTTTAGAGAATAATGACAAGGAAAAATGCCTGTACATTTCAGTACAGATATAGTTTATTAGAATAGTTTTGATCCATGGTTGATTGAACCTGGATACTGAACCCAAGGATGTGGGGACTGACA